AAAAAAGTAACAAATATGAAAAACAGAAACTATGAAATAACACAGGTTCACACATTGCATTAGAAACCTAAACAGCTACAGAGCAACGAATTGAGAATTTCGTATACAAATGATCTAGTAGATTGAATAATACAAGACTAGAGTTAATACGTTCATCTTGATCACGAATTGAGATACAGATACACATAAAAAATCCATAACTCAAATAGTGCATATATAATACCTGAGAGCCATGCTGATCACAAATCACAAGTCTTGGTACAGGAAAACGATCCCGAACTATTAATTGAGCATCATCTTGTGGAGCTTGTAACAGATGAGCAAAAGCCTATAAAACAGGCAGGGTATATTATTAATTTTATCAGAGTCACACGGAAAACAACGAGCTAATATGCAGAAGAATCACCTTGCAAAGCATTCAAGTTCTATACGGGGCAGAACAATATATTAAACAGAAAATAGGGTTTGAAGTTCCTAAAACAGCCCCATGCTGTTTTGGAGTTCCTAAAATAGGTTTCTAAAACAGCCCCACACATAGCCATGTTTAAAAGAAAAATTCAAGCATTCCATCTACCATAAATTATTGAAAGGAATTTCACGTAGGGTAGTTAAATTGAGAATACATCAAAGAAAGCTGCTTGGAAATTTTTTGGGATCAATTATCTTTTCAACAAATTGTTGGAACTTGGGAATGCAATTATTATTCCCCCAATAAAAAGTAACCACCAAGTTTCATCTTCGGGTAAGGGGAATGATATCAAACATAAGCCATTTTCAAGAGAAAAACCATCCAAAAAAAAAAACTCCCCATAAGAATTCGAAGGTAATACAAAATTCACCACCAAAAGAAGAACAAGAACAAATGAAATCACACCTGATGTTTTGGCTCATTCTGGTAGCCCATATTCCTCCACTGTGCTATTGTCATTCCATGAAAGATAACTACACTAAAATACGAATCTAGCAAGAGAATACGATCAGCAGCGATGGATTGGACGTCAAGCAAAGCTGGTGCAGGCAGTGAATTAAACGCATATGATATTAAGGATGGCTGGATCATGACTGCAGCATTGTTTATAGACTCCCGGTTCAACAAAATGCGAAAATAGGCAGTCTCATCTGGGCTATTGTTAAATACCTGAAAGATAGGGAATAGAGAGATCAAATTTATAGCACATTATACGTGGAACAATGGTCATATGAACATTAGATATGGTATACCTGTACAAATTGTGATCTGCGCAGATTAAACATGAACTGAGGGAACAACGAAAAGCAGGGATTCAATGTAAATGACGCTGGGTCATCTTTCCGATAGTCCCCAAACTTGGAGCACAGGCGAATCAGATTCCTATCCAACCATCTTGAAGCATCAAAACTTTCCTGCAATGGAAATGCCATCAATTTACCTTGGTTACTTAGTTGATGTAATATTTTGATATTCTCTGTAGGTCCGACATAGATTTATAATTCCATTATCATCCGTATAGGTTATATATGTTATTTTTCACACTTCAAAACCTAAATTTATTGGCAAACATCATTAACTTATGAATAACATGTGTATGTGTAAGGATTAAGGAATGGTCTACACTACAAGAGTAAATTATAATTTTAGTCCTGTATGTTTCACTACTTTAACTTTTTCGTCCTCTTCGAATTGCGTTTTTTATTTTCGTCTCGTATGTTTGAAAAAAGGTTACACAATGGTCCTTTTCATACATAAGGGACAAAATTGGAACCCTTTTTGGCAAAACATAAAAGACCTTTTTGCTGCGAAAAGGATTTTTCTGTAACCTTTGTAACCTTTTTTCAAACATACGGGACGAAAATCAAAAACACAATTCGAAAAGGACGAAAAAGTTAAAATAGTGAAACATACAGGACTAAAATTATAATTTAGTCTACAAATAATGCAGATGATAAATTTAATCAATTGGAAGAAAGTCTTATAACCAAAAAATTAGGTAGTGTTTTCTAGGGAAGTCATGAACAACATAAAATTAAATTGGTTAACCAAGGTTAATTTTGAAAAAATGGTGAATTTTAAAAAATGTGGTATGGTTAGTTAGTGGGATTTTGCGTTAATATTAAGATAATATTTAAAATAAAATAATTAAAGTTGATTTGATGTAAAATTAGGAGATAGATGATGTGAAGTGATGGTTAGTTAAAATAATGTGAGTGGATGAATAGTGAATTAAAGTAGATGTGATGCGTATGAATGATTGGTTTGTATTATTTAATTATACAAATAATATTAAAGATAGTGGGGTTGAGTTAAAGTTGAGTTAGATTTTGATTATGGATTAAATGTGTGAGATATTTTGTAAAGAAGCACCCTCTCAAAAATCTCCAACTATAAATCTCTCCGTCCTAACCCTTCTCCAACTTGCATTTTCCAAATGAGCAGTTACACTAGCAAACTAACTTGTATTGTATATGAAAAGTATCAAAGTTACACAAATAGCTAGATAAATGAAAGCATGAATGAAATGATATAAGCATGATTAGTATGGACCAGTGTTGTCAAATAGCGGCCATGGCACGTATGCATAGCGGTTTGGCCTGGCCACTACGCAAGTTCCGAAAACTGGCGGCTTTTGCCATGGCGGATTTCTGCCCAATTTTGCATAAAATTTTAGTTGGGCCTGCCCAATTGTCCACCAAAAGCAGCCCATACCAAACAAAAGAAAAAGGTGGAAATAGAAATAGAAAGAGAACAGAATAGATCGGGGGACACAAACAGAGAACAGAAAAAACATTAGACAGAATAGGCAGCTTTTTTCACTACCCCAGCGCACCACCCCGACGACCTGTCCTCCAGTGACGCATCACCCTGGAGAACTGTCACTGGACTAGACTCAATCACTGATAAATTACTGTTTTTTTCTATTTTCATGGTCAGTTTCTTTTTTTTTTCCTCGTCTAGTAAGTTACCCAATTAGTGGTTGTCTAGGACCCTTTCATTCTCTTAATTCAGTTTTTACAACATATAATAAGAGAACCTTTTTTTTTTTGTCTGAAGCATTTTGTCTCAGTTACTGGTTGTCAAGGACCCTTTCAAAAAGCTTTTACAACTTTTAAGTAATAAGATAACCTTCTTTTTATCATTGCTTCAGTTTTTTCCTTTTTTCAATTTCAGACTTTCAGTTTATTTGATTTGTGTAAGGTTCTTAAGATTTTTATAACTTATAAATTTTGTAACTTATGAGATTTATGGACATGTTTTGGGGTGAACCAGGATTCATATCGAAAACTTTTATGTATAGATATATATATATAATATATATTTTTTGGTCCGTCATGACTTTCGCCATTTTCTGCCACGCCATCAGCGATATAAATATGGCCTTTTTTTGGCTTTCCGCCATGGCCCGCCATCCGCCATCGATAACACAGGTATGGACTGTGGCAACTGGCAGCAAGTAGACATAGACTCCTCCTGATACTGGACTTAATAAATAGGTTCCATCGAGTCGTAAGATCTTTGATAATGTGTTTCATTTATCATTTGTCAGTTTTCCATTTCAAGATATGTGTGCCCAGAATTTCTATCTTGCTTAAACTTGTATCACTTGAAGCTCCCATTGAAAGAAAATAATGATTCCAGAAAGAAACAAACAAATTCAGAGCTAATTAATGCACCAAAATTAGGAATACAAAGTTTTAAGAAAAGTTTAGACTTTAGAGTAGTGTTATTAATGGCGGATGGCAGTAAATGGCGGCAGTCCAAAATCCCTCCACAGTGGCTGCCATGGCGGGCACCATGGCAGAAATCCACCACACCATACTGCCACAGCCGCCATTCGATAACACTTGTTTAGAGCTTGTCAGATGGATTAAAAGTTGTTATCCGCATTTATAAAAAATTTATAATTGTATTACCTCCATTTCCATTTTATAAGAAGCTAGCCGAGCCATTACTACAGCAGCAACCTCCTGGTCAAATCCTTGAATTAAATCCTGTAGGCACAGAACAAATTAGGAGCAACATCGCAGCCATTTCCATCTTCACCAAGCTTGCCACGACGAAATCAATGAAAAAGTTTCAACATTGCATGGGGAGATGAAGAGAGAAAATGTCAAACATGTTCAGAAAATAAAAAATGAGAATGAAAAACTTCAAGTTTTTGTGAGTCCAAAGGTATATTATTATTACTTCTCGGTACCTGCCAAGTTGGCAAATCAGATGAATGTCACAATCAGAATACTAGTTTCAGGAAGCAGTAAAGCACCCACAAATATTAAACATGTAACACTGACTCTTCATTCATATCAGAAATATCATTTATATCTTTATCTACAAGATCAACATTTATTAGTATGTTGTAGATCTACATGTACTGGAGTCTCCACATCAAGACTAAGTAATCCAAATATTGAAAAGTGGCAAATGATTGAAACCATTTTTTTCTGCCTTTCTTTGCAAGAATAGTGAATGGAAAAAAATTTAAATCCTTGAACCAAATAAATTAACCATACAACACAGTTTTTGGATCCAAAAGAATGATATGAAGCAAGGCATTCTCTATGAAACAACGTCCGTAAACACTGATTATCCTACCTCATTTCCCAAAGCACTATCCACCCATCGTCTAGTTACAGTTGTGACTCTAAGCCGCATCTGACCTTCAGAAGTCTGATAACTGTCCAAGAAAACAGTTTGGACTAGTTTAAATTCTTATGTTGGTAAAATATATTAGTAATATGACAAGTCTATCATAAATCAGTTAATTATCCAGAAAGGCACATATAGGGAAAGGGGAATCCTACAAACCTAGTTAGAAACTGTATGTATAGATGAGGATTTGGTCCTGCAGGATCAGACTTTTCACTGGAAGAAACATCAAAGAAAACAGTTAAACAAGTACTCCTGTCAAGGCCACACATCTTCCACGCTGTAGTGTTCCCTTGTCCTATAACAGTGTTGGCAACAGCAGGCCCTTTCTGCAAAGCAAGTATCAAGCTAGATATCAACATATCGAAATACAAACTTCCAAGAGATTATGATCTTCTAATTATGGCAGCTACAGTAAAATGCTTCCAAGGTAAGTATAACATTTTGGATGTACAAACCTTTTCTAATGATGTGCATGGCCCAATGATTCCTTGGATTTTTATATCCTTTGAGCAGTTGATCTCCAGAGTGCCACTGAACACATTAAACGATAAATATTATATCCCATCAATGTAGTTCCATCACAGAAAATAATCTAACCATTTTTTTGGACAAACTTCAAACCAAAAACAACCAATGTATTGCCATTAGTGTTGTTTAAGACTTCCTTTTGCCTCATGAAAAATATCACCACCAGAAAAAGAAGACTCACAATAGTTAAAATGTTGCCAATTATACTAACAAAAACAGTCCATGTTCAAAAAGTTATGTTACATCACAAATGAAAACTTGTTGGATAGAACTGTAGTTTTAAATGGTGAATGGTGATGCAAGGCGTTTTGCCCATGGAGAGACCATGAGGTGAGGCCTCACAAACATATGACACCAACACGTGAAATATATGTATATATTTATATGGTGCAACTAGTTATTTAAGTTCAAATGACAAAATCAACCTCAAATATCCCCAAGAAGGCAAGTAGTAAATATTAATCTGAATCAATTATTTAAAAAATAGCACCTGAAAAATACCAATGGAACTTATAAAATAATATTAGAAACAGAAATTAATAAACTTAAAGACAAAAGAATAAGTCGTGGAAGAAAAAAAAAAA